TCTTGAGCACGGCATTGGCTGCAGTCGTGAAATCTTTCGTTTTTTTTAAGAATCGTCCGCAGCTGAATGCACTGTAGTAGCACCTGATCAAGCTTTGGCGCCCTGTGAGGTCTTTTCAGTGTCTTCTAATGTGGAAGGGGAATACCGCACCTGTTGTTCACAAAAGGCCATCAGCCCTAAACAGTCAAATCTTGTTTACCGACTTATTGTGTCTGTTGCCGCGATCTCAGCCGATGGTTAAATAACGGAGGTTTGAGATGATTGCAGATCACAAACAGTGAAGCGCGGGAAAATAATGTCGAAAATCAGATGACTGCCGCCGAGGTATGAGGTTCAAAATGATGCGATAACTGTCATGCCACATGATCGTGTTCAACTTTTTGAGTATGATGATGCTAATATTTTGTATGGCTAATTACTGTGTTCATTTGCAACATGAGTGTTATGCGCGGAGCGGTCACACTTCATAACCATGTTCTCGTGATGAGATATAATGGGATAAATCAAGCCAGAGTGGGAAGGAGCAGGACAGCCCATTTTATTCACTTGCTCCCGCGGTCCCCAGAAACAATATTATATCGTCGACGCTCAAGGCAATACCGAAAAGCAAATGGTACCATTCGGCCGTACTGAGCATGCCCTTACTCACCAGTGACCACAGCTGTGATGATGAGAACTTATTTATAGGCGCTATAGATAGTATAGATGTTATGAGCTATAAGACGCCGCTTCAACTGCTCGATGAAGCGGCGTCTTAAATTTCCCACGGCCAGAAACGTCCAACATAAAATTCTGCATCTGGGACAGAATATATTCTACAGATACAGACACGCCAGCCAAGATATGACGCACTACAACAGCGGGGGGTGACGTGCCGGCCATTGGTCCACAGCATCCACGGCGCCCTTCCGATGAACAGTGAGACAGTGGACAGTGTACAGTGGTGCACGGTGTGGTCAACGAACTTCAGCTTGATGGTGTATGTTTGTCACGCAACACGAACTGTAAGGCACTGCCCAGACATGCACTCTGAGGCTTTGCTTCTGCGCTGGCCCAATTTGCCAACGGACGACTGAGTAGAAATGTGCACCAGGCAAGGGCGGGCCCGAGTATGCCCAAATTTGCATCGCAGTTGAAACAATCCGCTTAACTGGACTGGAAACATAAGATGTAACTCTAATGGCCTGGCCTTCCCTCTGCCTGACTGCCCACCGACTCGGTGGAGGGCTGTGCACTAAAGGCAAAAGCTGAATAGCCTCTCCGAGCAAAACCCTGGCGTCCTCCTAGAATCATGTATCTTGCCTTAACATTCGACGTATCGTTTTACTCTTGGACGCGAGCTGTTGGGACTGTTTTTTTTCGGAATGCCGGTAAACGCAGGTCGTTACCAGGGCTTAGCACATGCTTACCTACATGGAACGCACTCAGCAAATGCTGAGGCAGGTTCTTTGAATGATATGCGTGAGGTGTCAAATTGTTTCATCTTGCGTATTTGCCATGCCAATTTTGTTAAATGTTGTCGGGAGCTGGCGCGGAGCCGCGGTCCAACATTCATGGCACAGCCTCACAGCATGCTGACCCGAAACTCCTTTCCACAATCAACAAATGTACCGTCATTCTGTTCTAAAACTTCCGGTGCTAACATTGTTTTAAAAAAATTCACATCGTTATGTTGTTCGTGACGTCAAAGCCGAGGGGAACAGGTTGGGTTGCATGGCGTGTCTGTGAGTCGATAATTTCGTTTCAGTATGAGTTATGTATTCTGTTTATTTCGCATACAGACGATACCATCACCTCGTTAAACCACCAGTCCTAGCTCTCCAGGTAACCTGATCATGGATAGGTATCCATACACTGCAGCATCACCCTGGCGACGCCAGCAAACGTTCTCAACCAACCGATTGCATCGGTTTTCGCAACAGACCAATAATCTATTGCTCCCCTACCTTACTCCAGCTTTTCGCGAGGCCCAGATTGCTCGGGGACAGACGTGTGTGGCGCTTGTGGCTGAAAACAGCCGGCGTCATAAGCCAGTCAATCGTTGATCCTGCTTGGTTAATGTGTTCTATAGAACACACCACCTTTTGGAAGCTGGCAGGGTTCTTTTGAACTATACTTCTATAGATAAAGCACCTGGCAACCAGTGTGAGTTGTTGCACGTCGTCTACAGCCACCGCCTCGTCTGAAGGCCTGTTGGGGTTCTACCTCAAGTTGATGTCGCCGCTGCTTTTTTTGCATTTATAGATAATTTTCTACCATTGTCGGTAGCGCTCTCTCGCCAGAGATCTTACGGAAGTTCAACGTTGGCTCATATCAGCATCCTGGATCAGCGGATACGTTTTCTTGTCCCTTCCCGTTGACGGAAACCTCTCTTGTCGGACCATATCCATGCATTTTGAAATAAAAATAGTTTGTTGAATATGGTGAAAGCCGCCCGTCTGCTCGAGAAATCCTCCGCTGCCCTGCAACCAACATAACACTCGTCTGTGCCATCAGCCTTTCGACACCATGGTCCTGGCCGAGAGAAACAAATGGAGCTGCAAAAAATGCTCTTTGGATAACGCATGTGTACGTTTGTATATGTTTTGATACCACCAAACATCCCTCAAGAAGAGGTTTGAATTCCGACGTTAATGTTTCGGTGAATCTGTTCCAATGCACAGTAGGACTCGATAATCGATGAGGCATTTCTACGGGCCCTCGGATGTAAAGAGTCGTTTCATCCACGTGAACTTGATGGCTTTGTCACGCGTCGTATTGTAGGTTATTTTATGTGTCATTCAATAATCTTGTCTTGCTGCAGGACTGCGTAAAAACATTGACTTTCTGGTCACCTATGAAGCGCCAGTGACTTGGCAACAGTTTGCTTGTCGTTAAGTCAACCGTCCCTATAGCCAGCCTCGAGGGGATTCCCTATGGCGTTAACGTTGCCGTTGAATTACCTAAATGGCATGTCTGTTATCAGTTCGCAAAAAATACTGCCAGAAGTCCAAAACTTATTCGTAATCTACCTAAACGCAGACTCAAATAATATCAGGCGGTGCTGCAGAGCGAGAAAAAAAAACAGCTGAAACTCATGCGCGTTGAAGAACAGTCTTTAACTCGCCTTGCATTCAGGAATCGTTCCCTGCCTGCCATAGAACCTTCCTCTACATCATCCGATAAGAAGTGCTATAATTCACGAATTTTTCCAATATACTTGGAGGATTCCCAACGTATAGCCGGATTTGTGGTAAGTTTGCCGTAGTCTCGTTTAAGACACATTAGCATCACGATCAGCATAGGTATCAAGTGTCCGACTCGACAACACATTGCGTACAAACAAAAAACGATATCAGATATCGGAAGACAAGAAGTCATCGCCCCACACTCAGCGGGCGCACTAGGCGCACAGCCACAGAGGCTGAGGTCAACAAGAGCCAGCCGGACGGGTCGGAGACCACGCGTCGCGGCCGCAGAATTGCAGTTATGAGCGAAGCTCGCCGCAAGCGATAGGAGGAGTGGAAAGGGTCACAAAACGATGGAGAACAGCAGCCCGAAGCCAGGCCTGAATGTGCGGAACACTCAGCGCCCTGAGAAGTGCGAGTTTTACGTCCACCATGACAAACCGATCCCGCATCCCAGGCTACCTTGTGGCTTTGTACGTTTCTGGAAGCAGCAGTTACCGGCCGTTGGTAACGGGAACATTTAATTAATTTTTGCTTAAAGCGGGGCGGTGTCGCGGAAACTTAAAATATCAGGCGGTGTTGTGCTTCCTTCCCCCCCCCCCCTCTCCATACACACACAAAATGTATCACTGCGCAACGAATGTGTTCAAACGAATTTCCACCGTAATGTTGCATGCTAAAAATTGGACTGCAGTGGATAATTTTCGACATCCCTTTCCAATTTTTTGTAAAGGGACGCATGGCTCCGTTTCCCTGTACCCAGTGCGAAGCTCGGGACTACTGTAAATGCTGTACCGATTCCACTGGGAAGCGCGGACCAACGTGTTCAGTTGCGAGTCTTGTGTAATGCGATGCACCACAGGACTGGATTCTAGCCATCACTTGAGACGATCGCGCTTCTGGAGCGAAAAATTAGTCAGCGACGGGCCCACTGAAGCTTGCCAGCTGTTGCCGCCTACTCTGACTCGCCCCGTTTCGTCAGATTACGCCCGAGTTTATTTTTACGATCACCTGTCGGCTGCGCGCGCTCGTTAGTCTGAATAATGAATATTGACGCGTGTCGTCTCATCTGGAAGAGACGCCCGACCTGCCCTGTTATGACCCAATCAGGCGCCATTGCCCGCTCATCGCCTGACCTTCGGCCCTTTCGACGATGGCCGAACACCCCCAGGCCAACGGTGCCCTTGTTGGTGACTGGAGTGGGGGCGCGGCAATGGGACATTACGTGGCGATGAGGCTTTGTTTTGGGAGAATGCGCATATGAAAGCATGTTTTGGGTTTCCTCTCGCCCACTCGTTTTCCGGCTAACACCGTGACATATGGGAAGTCCTGAGACAACATTTCTTACTTGTAGATGTGGAAAATTGTTGGAATTTACGTTCACGCACACACCTCGTGCTGCCGCTGTATTACTGTCTCTGTTTATTTTTAACACCCTAGTCGAATGTGCCGACAATTAAGTTGGAAGAATGCGTTAACAAATGATCATGCGTCATTCCGACAAAGCGTGCTACTTCTGCACAACGTCGACTTTGTTGCCGGTATTGAAGTGTTACACACACTTCCCAAACGGCCATGTACAATATATATACGACCACATCAGATTCGCCAGCCCATCACTTAGGTGGCAAATCTGATGTGGCAGTGGCACTCGTCCATCCTTCCGCTTCCACGTCGAAGAAAGAAGCTACCACTTCACCACGTGTCGACGCAAATAACACTGCCTTTCATTCCCAGGAGCCGGCTCCCCCATGTGGTGGACAGCACACAGCCTGCCCAGCCCCGGCGCTGGCCCTGCTCACCGGGCTGACCGGGTCACGCCCCTGCCGACAGATCGAGGAGTACATGAGCCAGCTGCCGAATCACAAGGTGCCGCGGCTCGGCACGGCCGGTGAGAAGTACCGCGAGCGTAACCTGGTGCACCAGCTGCCGGCGCAGGACCTGGCGCTGACGCACTGCCGGCACGTGGCTGGCGAGCACCAGCGCGCCTTCCGCGACTTCATCGAGGCCCGCAACGACATCGCGCTCGACGTGGGCTTCGTACGAGAACTGAACCATTCCTCCGTGAGTGTGGGTCCGAGAACTGAACCATTGCTCCGTGAGTGCAGGTCCGAGGCGTAGTACGAGCAGTGGTAGTAATTGGGGTTTTGGGTTCTTCGGCTGCATGGTCATATGGCGCCCAGCGGGGACCGAGAGCTGAATCAATCCTCCGTGAGTGCGGGGCCCAAGAACTGAAGTATTCCTCCGTGAGTGTGGGCCCGAGAACTGAACCACTGCTCCGGGAGTGTAGGCCCGAGGCGTAGTACGAGTGGCGCCCAGCGGGGACCGAGAGCTGAATCAATCCTCTGCGAGTGCGGGGACCGGGAAGTAAACCATTTCCTGGTAAGCTTGAGCCCGGAAAGTTGAAGCGACGGCGGTAGGCGGGATCGACTGGGCTTATGTTTGCGGTGATGCAATTTTATAACTTGCATCTACGTGGAATCGGCTTCAAATCATTATTGCTGGGATTGGCAGCCACGAATCCAGCGTACAATACCGACGTGTCACGCAGTTGTCATTTGGTGCATTAAATCGTACTGCGTGTGAACTAGCACACCTGAAAAGGTACAATCACAGCTTTTCTCGTTCTTCGCGGTAAATTTCATCCTTTCTGATCTAAATTCGTCTAATAGGAGGGATGTACAGAGACATCGTTCTGGTTTGGTGTTCCGTTTAGTTCTACCGATCCCCGCTGTTTACTTGTTAGCATCCAAGGTGAGACCGTGCTCAGTGCGGTCTACTCTGCCCCACCAGGGACCGGCTATCTATGGGGCGACCTTTATGCTGATCGATGGTAGATTGTCTGTGCCATTCCCTATCGATTTGCCGACCGCGAACTTTTAGCGATGACCTTTGTGGTTGAGGATTGGCCGTTCTAGCCCAAACAATGGCTTCCCAAATTAATTTGCTTTGCAAATTTGTTTCCGGTTTGCTGGCCTGCCTTCCCAGCTCGACCCTGATGTCGAGGGGTGCGGCTAATATGATGAATTGCGTCGGCCCGTTTGTGAGCTACATGGTCTACACAGGCTGTGCGCTGTCGTTCAGGTTTGGCTTCAAAGGGCAAATATTCTTTATTCAGCAATTGAACGTGCTTTCTTCAGTGACATCACTTGGCTTAGAGTATGACATTTGTCCTGATTTTCCGACTGATAAAAAGATTGGGATCTTGATATAACTTGTGTTACAAACATCATATAAATTCAGCGTTCGCCATAGAACTAGCTTGACATGAACAAGGCGTTTCTTGAGCTAGCTGGCATCATATCCAGGCTCGAGCCACAGCTCAAAACGACGTTGGTCTGACCGGCTGTCAAGATGTCCTCGTCATACCAACTCCACTCCGCCCGGGGTCTGGGGAGAGGACGGGGGTGTAACCGGCTGTCAAGATGCCCTCATCATACCCACTCCACTCCGTCCGGGATCTGAGGAAGGGACGGGAGTGTAACCGGCTGTCAAAATGTCCTCGTCATGCCCACTCCACCCCGCCCGGAGTCTGGGGAAAGGACGGGGGTCTAACCGGCTGTCAAGATGTCCTCATCACATCCACTCCACTCCGCCCGGGGTCTGGGGAAAGGACGGGGTCGGCATGCCGGCATGGGTTATTTCGTTGATGCGACGTGCTTTTCTAAACACTCGCGGAGCGTGCTAGCCATTTTGATAGCAACCAATTCAAGAAGGAAGAAACGATTCCAGAGCGAAACTTAACAGCTTCCTGTTTTAATGACTGCCAACATCCCAGGTCCGGCGGAATAAAAAGCTTTGTTGTCCGGGATCTGAGGTCTTATAAATATTTTAATGTTGTCGCGATCGCAATAAACGGCATCACTTCAACCCAGTCCGGTTTCCTAGCTCTGCCTTGCAACGAGTTGGTGAAAGCGGCACTGGAAGGCCGTAAAAATGTCAGCGCGGCACACGCGCGGATGGTGGACACTCGCTGTTCTGTTGGCGCGGACTCCGCAGACGGCGTGATGTCATGGCAGGACCGAGCCGCAGACGGCGTGATGTCATGGCAGGACCGAGCCGCAGACGGCGTGATGTCATGGCAGGACCGAGCCGCAGACGGTTGTGGTGTCATGGCAGGACCGAGCCGCAGACGGTGTGGTGTCATGGCAGGACCGAGCCGCAGACGGCGTGATGTCATGGCAGGACCGAGCCGCAGACGGTGTGATGTCATGGCAGGACCGAGCCGCAGACGGCGTGATGTCATGGCAGGACCGAGCCGCAGACGGCGTGATGTCATGGCAGGACCGAACCGCAGACGGCGTGATGTCATGGCAGGACCGAACCGCAGACGGTGGGATGTCATGGCAGGACCGAGCCGAGCGTGGCGATGTTGGATGCAGAGCGGACCGCGGTGTTGGTCGCGCGGGGAGAGACCCCTATGTTGTACAGAGCCTCGTAGCGGCATGCCCAATGCGTTTTAGAAAGGCCCATTTAAGCTATGCCTCAATCTTATGAAACTGCAGAAGTGGTTAGTCGTTTCTGTGTTGCAAAAGAGGTTCCAGCACGTGGCCTTAACGCCGGACAAGGCGTCCAACGTTATGAAAATGTCTTGGAGAGACCACGGTGCATTGTTTTGAAAACCACTATCCTTAATCAGTAATGCAGCGAAGGTCGTATTATTTAGTCAAAGATGAGCTCCTGTTTCCTAGTTTAGACACAGGCTTGCAGGATGTCCACGATCGCGTGCGGAAAGCCATGGGTTCGGCCCCGGCTGCCGGCGTAAAGTTTCGTCGGTTCGCGACAATCGGTATGGGATCTTGCGGTGACTAACAGCTCAGGACATGGAAGGCGCCATTTAACCCCCAAGGTGTCAGCCTTGCGAAACTTTCGCGTGCGGAGGCTGCGGCTGCCGTTAGAACAAACACTCGCACAACCTATGTAGCGGTGTCATGCCCAGATGCAGTGTAATTGCGGAAAAACTGCTTGAATATCCTGCGGCTCACAGCCTTCCACAAATTCTTGCACCACCTAAATAATTCTGAATGAAGACCTTGTCTTACCGCTCGTTACAGCTGGCCCTTCAACTGAGCCCCACAGCATACCAGCAGTCATACAAAGTCACAGTCATGCGTTCATACATCGTGCATCAATAGATACGGAGCTTAACAGTGGACGGAGTCAGCGCCCTCTGAAGTGACCAATCACGCCCGGGCGCCACAGAATGCGGGCACTGAAAGCACCCCGGGTGATGAGGACAGCGGCATTAGTTAACATTCTTCCAGATTTCGCCGCTAGGTGGAAACCTGTGCCAGGCACGCCCCAGACGATATGCCAGGCCACTGCCCGTGCTCCGTCCACCGTCACTGGAAGACCGAAGTCATCAGACAGTCTCCACTGGGTTCCGTAGTCCTCGTCCACAAAGTCCACCAGCTGCGGTGGTCCATGGCCAAACAAAAAAGAGCGTCACTTTTTGAATTTATTGAGAGTTTGGACGTGTGTTATTGGGTTGAATACCGGCGAAAGTCGTTCGTTGTGCGCCACTGGGAATTACTTAGACCTACCGTAGCGTCAAGCAAGACGTCTTTTGGTCCAACTAAGACGTGGTTTGGTCAGACCAAGACGTCGCTCGGTCAAACCAAGGCGTGGTTTGGTTCAGCCAGGACGTGGTTTGGTCAGACCAAGACCTGGTTCGGTCAGACCAGGGTGTGGGTTTGGTCAGACCAAGACGTGAAGACGTGGTTCGGTGAAAGCAAGGCGTGGTTTGGTCAGACCAGAGACGTGGTTCGGTCAAACCAGGACGTGGCTTAGTCAGACCAAGACATGGTTTGATCATAGTGGGACTGTTGAGAGATGCAGATTAAATTTGCTGCAAACCAAGGGCAGTTAGCAAATCTTCGTGGCGGAAAGAAACGACCGTGCGTTCAACAGGTCACCACAATTTCCATACGTATTCATTGCAACATGAAATTTGGTCAAAGAAATGAGTGACAACCACTCCATGTGGCGTCTATGGGACGTTATACCCAACACAACCCTTAAGTCTGGCTTTTAGCTTCAATAGGAATCGAGACAGGGCTGCGATGATCTCATTTAAGGTGCCTCGTATGGATTGTGCGCACAACATTGATGGTACTCTTATGTCAGGCAGTGAATACTGAGTAGCACCGAGTGGGCACAGTTTTCATGAAACTGACTATTCCCGTAAGGGGACCGTCATGTTTGGTAGGTCAGTGACCCTGGTTAAGTGAAACAAGGGATGGTTTTCCCGAGATCGGTCCATATACAAAGGGGTCTCTGGCCTCGCGTTTAACGCACGCTATTTTATCACCTTTATCATCACCACTTGACGTAACTTGTGACAAAGTCTATGAAAGCAAGTGCGCATGCGAGCAAAGCAGTTGAGCCAAAATCAGGGGACAAATATGGTCTAAGAGTAAGTTACGCTGTCAATGTTTCCAACTCCCATCCCCCAGACTCGTTAGCTGAATCCATCAGGCATGAATATTACGGGCCCATGTTGGTCGTGTCCCTTTTCCTTTTATGAGGAGGCATTCATGGTAGACGTCAGCACTGTGCAAATGTCCTTGCATCCCGCAGACACGCTGTACATTCCGCTCGTAAGACTGCGAGCTGCGACGGCTGCGGGCTTCATGCCTTCTGCAGCCTTTTGTCGCCTTTTCTTATGTTGTTGCACTCTGTTACGGTTGGGACCTTTTGTCCACGTCCTGATCGCCTTTGGAAGCCTTTGAATTTGCCCAAGACCACAAAAACGTTCCACGGCTCGGGCTCAGCAGGCGGCGTGGGCCACTGTCTCTGCGCCGAATGCAACCCTACGTTTCGGTCCATTTGAGGAAGTTGACTGTCCGAAATATACTGTTCAGTGGTGCACATCCGCGCTCACGAGCACCCCAAACCGACGATCAGCCATCTGCCCGCTAACACGCACTAACAATCTCAGCTGTTGATTGTTCACGACTCACGGTCATGTAGGTGAAAGTTCATGACGTTGCGTGTGAACTGAACAAAACAACTCACGTCAGTTTCATCCGACCCACTAGTTGCGGAACATGAACAAACGGTCGTCTCCTTCCGACCGGTCGTCTCCGGGTTTTTCAGTTGAAATCACTGCACGACCATCAAAGAAACGGTTACGCGCAGTTCCCCATAAAACGGGGTGTACGCCAACACGGACGGTTTACCGTAAGCTATGCGGTCGCTGTGGGGCTCAACAGCACCAAACACGCCTGCCACTGATGACGTCATTGGGACGGCCTGCGTGTTGCGGCCAGGTGGCGCTGCTGAGTGGTATCGGCGCTGCCCGCTGCCGGCGCGCTGGGTCGGGGCAGATGCCGGCCCGTTTAGCCACCCAGGCACTTCAGAGGTAGCCCAACGATGTCGAAAGCGCGGGTCACGCAGAATTTTGGTCATTGCGTGGAAATGCATGCGGATGGATGTCACTACTCACGCACATCGCTCATCGTCCTGTCTTAGTGGGATTGCCACCCCTTGCATGTCTTTTATACTGACGGGTGTCCGCGTTCATGTTGTTTTAAGGTAGCCAGGTGTGGCCCCGCGCGTTCAGGATGAGGTGTTGTTGCCAAAGGGCCTGCCACCAGTGAGTTGTTTTCCGGTAGTTCAGCAGTGTATTCCGGCGGCCCCTGCGCTGTCGCCCTCATTCATTGTGAACAACCGGCTCGCAAGTTTGCCAACGCGTCACTCAGTCGTTCTTGCTTGGGCTCGCTAACAAAATATTTTGAGGAGCTACCCTTCGAAGGGCACCAAAGGCATACGCCCGCTGATAAATGTCCGTCGAATTTGCAAGTTGGTAGATATTTGCGATTCCTTCCGTCAGTGATGCCGTACTGTATGGGCGGTGCTGTTTGCAGAGGTGTCTACGTTTTGAAAGGCTTGTTCATTTGAGCGATGAACGTGTACGCTGCTGTTCATCTCCGTCGACTGTGTGTAGCGCTGTGCTATTTATGCCGTGCACTGGCACATGCGGCTCATGCATGAGGCCACGCAATGGACATTCATGCATCCGCTAGTGATAACGAGATCGGCTCCTATTGCCGTGGCTTTGGACGCCTGTGACGTGAGCGCTCCCTGTTGCAGGAGTGCCGCAAGTGTCAGCGCGTGATACGGCACGGCGAGCTGGCTGTGATAGCTCCGAGATTTGGCGACGTGAGTAAACTCTCACCGCCGGAGTTCATTCTGCCCGATCAGCGTAGTGTACTCTCTCCGCCGGAGTTCACTCTGCCCGATCAGCGGGGTGTAGTCTCTCCGCCGGAGTTCACTCTGCCCAATCAACTGAGTGTACTCTCGCTGCTGGAGTTCACTCTGCCCGATCAGCGGAGTATGCTCTCGCCGCCGGAGTTCACTCTGCCCAATCAACTGAGTGTACTCTCGCTGCTGGAGTTCACTCTGCCCGATCAGCGGAGTATGCTCTCGCCGCCGGAGTTCACTCTGCCCGATCAGCGGAGTATACTCTCGCCGCAGGAGTTCACTCTGCCCGATCAGCTGATCATATTCTCGCCGCAGGAATTCGCTCTGGCCCGTCAACTTTTCTGAACCTAATAAGTGAAAGGGCAGGGCTTGCGTGCTAGACGGCGTATGACGTTACAGTTCGGCCATGCAGCTTAAACAAATGTGGTAATCCGATATGAGACCGAAAGTTCAATGAATTCCGCATGGAAATCGGACCATTCCGCCCATTTATCATCAGGTTCAGCAAATATCGCTCTATCAAAGAAAATAATAGAAATAATTTGTTTGGGTAAGATCACAGTAATACGGAAAATCGAAGCCTAAATATCAGACACAAATTTGAGGCGAGCTGCTGACCTCAGTCCTGTATCGGAGCAAGCGCCGCGGTGAAAGGCACACCACGGTTCAGCGACTCTTTCAAGAACAGCACCCGGACGGAGCTGGCCGCCGCTTGGACGAGTTTGGCGTATCCGTCTCGGGATGGAGCCTAACTTGCCGGTCCATCACGTGGTGTCTGTTCCGAGCTGGCCGGCCTGGGTTCCCGGTACTGTCCGCCGGACCGCTGGATCCCGCCCGGCCGTTGACACCGAAGCGCCGAGCAGTCCGCGCCGGCTGAACGGGCCTTAAATCCGGGGGCGCTCGGCCCGCCCCGAGCGCGCGGGAGACGCTGGTGCCATCTGTGTAGCTCCGCGCCCACGTCGTAGAAAATTACGGCGCTGCTCGTGGATAGCACGCTGTAAAAGTCGAATATCGGGGCCAGACGTGTCCGGCTCCGTGACCTCATTTGCCCCGGCGCTGAGTTGATATCGACGTTCATCAGAGTTACCCATATCAGCACGGAAGCTCCTGCCTCCCAACATGATGGTGCTCAAAGGAGCTGCCGTTTGGTGGACTTCGCAAGGCCATGTTCCCTATGGTGGCGCCACATTCAATAGCCCCGGGTTCTCGCGGGAATGATGCTGCCACCTGGTTTCGGCGTGGGTACTGGCACTTCGAATGTTGTCCGTCCGTTTAGAAAGGCGCGCCTCGAAATCCGCCAAGCGCTCATCAATACACTGATGGGAGAAGTGTCAGCATCGATGAGAGCAGTGTCTTGCGACATCAGTACACCGATGGGAGCAGTGTCTTGCAGTATTAGTACACCGATGGGAGCAGTGTCTCGCAGCATCAGTACACCGATGGGGGCGGTGTCTCGCAGCATCATTTTGTTGTGATGTATCTTAAACCAGGAGGTTATTGTGAAACGTCAGTAGATTATTCTGTAAAGAACGATGGGAATAGCTTAGGTAAAACCTATTCCAATCACCCAGTACGACAACGTCTGGACTTGGTATTTCGTTACACCGTAATAGTCCAGGTCAAGGCCCACCAGATGAGTGTACTGATTTCTTAAAAACACCAATGCAACTGATCGGTCAGAAACGTTCGCACAAATTTCTTACTGTGCTTTCCCAACGAAACGTTGTTGTAGCGCATCGCATGACATGTCTGTGCTGTTTTACATCTGGTGTAGTTAAGTTATGCTGTAGAATTAGGAAGGCCGTGCGAAGAGAAGCTGTTTAAAGCGCTTGACGTGATATCCCGCGGACCTGCAACGTGTGGGCAATGTCGGGTGATGTTCCAGGTGACGTGGCACCCGGCCTGTTTTGTGTGTCACACGTGTGACCAGCTGCTAGTGGATCTCACATACTGCGTCTACGACGAGGAGATCTACTGCGAACGGCACTACGCGCAGCAGCTGAAGCCCCGGTGTGCCGCCTGCGATGAGGTGAGTCAGCCGTTGTAGGCGCCCTTCGCCATGCCAAGCTGGCTGACACCCCCTCACCAACCCCCAACACGGGAACAGCTCCAAATGTGGCCCGCCACTCGCTGCCTCCCTTACCGGCAGACCAACGGCAGCGGCGCATCGCGGGCTAGGCTCTGAACTTCGAGAGCTTATCCCTCGGCAGAGGGGCGCGGACGACCGCGGTGAGCCTCCCCTCCCCCCCCCCCCCACCGAACTGAGGCTGTGGATAAAGGGTCGATCCGGCAGGGTCGCGGCTCTCATCAGGCGCTCCTAAACCCTAAGGGCCGACCTGGCGGGGTCGCGGCTCTCACCAGGCGCTCCTATGAGGGCTGACCTGGCGGGGTCGCGGCTCTCGCCAGGCGCTCCTAAACCCTAAGGGCCGACCTGGCGGGGTCGCGGCTCTCGCCAGGCGCTCCTATGCCCTGAGGGCTGACCCGGCGGGGTCGCGGCTCTCGCCAGGCGCTCCTATGCCCTGAGGGCTGACCCGGCGGGGTCGCGGCTCTCACCAGGCGCTCCTATGCCCTGAGGGCTGACCCGGCGGGGTTGCGGCTCTCGCCAGGCGCTCCTAAACCCTAAGGGCCGACCTGGCGGGGTTGCGGCTCTCGCCAGGCGCTCCTAAACCCTAAGGGCCGACCTGGCGGGGTCGCGGCTCTCACCAGGCGCTCCTGCACCCCGTTCCGTATCTGCAGCGCTGCAAGACGCGAGGCGTGGCGTGATGCAGGGGCCCTCCCACTGGCGTTCCATCACGACCCCCGCCAGAAAGACCACAATGAAGCGCAGTGAAACGCAGTGCACTATTACGTCCTCACGCGATAGCAACGGAGCCGGGAGGGATCGAAGTGATGGAGACGTGCCGTCATTTCCGCTGACCGTTGATACGCTGCGACGCGTCGCTGCGGAGATATGCGATCACAGACCAGAACACAGACCACGACAGAGCATCCTCAGGTGTCGCAAGTTTTTGCGAACGAATGAAGCTGTTATTGATAATAATGATAATAAGCTGAAGCGTTATTGTATCCATTGAACTGTTCTGGACCTCTATATTGATCAGAGTTCTCTGAAGAGTAAGTTCTTCAGCAGTCAGGTCTCCGAGCAGACTCAGCTTGCTCAGCGGAATGCCCAGCCTGCCGCCGGTTGGCGAACGATAAACGGCACTTTTCTCCCCGGGTTTTACGACGGCGGGCTGCGTGAAATTGACGTGACGAAATGACGCTTTCATTTGGACGGGCCTCGTGCATTTCTTTCCGTCTAATGTTACGTCATTACTGAGCATCGTGCGGCTGGACTGTTGAGTACTCGGACGGCTGGAATGTAAGACTGGGGGCGATGCTCCGCGTGAACGGAGGCACCCGGAGGTCGACTGCCGCCCCAGACTCCTTCACTGGCACCTCTCAGTGGCCGGGCTCTAGACAACGCCTTACACCTGAGCCTCTTACCCGGCAAGAGTGTGCCCTGTAATCCTGGCATTTCAGTTGGCGCCGGGAAAGCCTCCCATGGCCCGCCCGCCCGACCTGCTATTCCGTCTGGACGCCTTTCAGCAGTACCGACAGCTGGTTAAACGTTTGGGGGTCGACTGGGAGGCCGATTGCCGATAAAACAGACGGGCAGTGTTATCGCGGTCGTAAAGTTGTCGAAGTTACGTCGCGTTACTTTAAAAGACTTGATGTGGAGTCCTGGATTTGGCTACTAGGTGCCCTATTTTAATTTTCGGAAGAGCCCCACTATGCAATGCCTGCCCAACGGGTAGAAATGGTTTCACAGCGAGGCCACAAAGCTACTTGCCTGGGAGCTACATGCGCTTAAATGCAGTCTCACCGTAGGCACAACCGCGGGGTAAACGTACCCTGACCTTTGTGGGACTTTTCTCTCTCAACCCTCCCCCGCCCCCCCCCCCCCCCCTCCCCCTGCGTACAACTCTTTCACCACTAATGTGTCAACAAAGGTGTCCCATCTATATTCCCCACCACTTGTCTGCCAAAGGATACAGGTGTATGCGTGATAGTTCCCCGATCCAACCGTCCCGGGTTCATCTCATTTCGTCTGTCACTCCTGTCTGCGTTGGCGCGTCCCCTTGGACGGCCGTCACGCCATTCCCCAGTGGCTGCTCGCATCTGATGCCGCGTCGGCGTCTTGATGGCCAGGCGTTCACCTCGTGACGCTGACTGTCGGTATGGAGTACCGCGACTTGTGGTGAGCGGCGTGACGCTGGCTGTCGGTATGGCGTACCGGTACAGGTACCGGTATAGGCACAGGTATGTAGGATCAACACTGTTTAAAATAGGAATGCTCCACAGGCTAAAGGCCTACTGGATAATCTCGTTACGGGCCGTTGTGATGCAGTGAGGTACGCCGGTCATTTAAAACCCCTTCAAAGCTTGAAAGTTTTAACCAGAATAGAGCTTTCAGTAAGAACGATGCAAATCAGCAATGGCATCGGTTGCAGCAGACTTCAGGAGAAGTCATTTAAGAAAACTTAAAGCGGCTTTAGTCATCGACATTGCTTGCCCCACGTCTGCAGCATGACGTATGTCAGAATCATCTCACTTCTCTCACGGGGAGCAGCCTGTTTTCTGCAAAAATATATTTTGGCGGGCGAGTGTACTGATCCAAAATAAATGGCCGTCTTTGCCAACTCTCCATTAACGTAAGCGGAGCCCATGGCACATGTCAAGAAGGCTTTGGCTCTTCCGAGCTAGGGACTCCTCCATCGTCACCGGCCTTTTCCTAAGGCGGATGCGAGGCGCTCGTCGGCGGGGAGGGTGGGTGGGGGGCGGTGGGGCAGACATGACAATGGGTCAGTACGTCGTCTGGTCCCAGCTCGAAGTGGACCACTGTCGGCGGTCACTGGCGTCACCAAAGCTGTCGGCGGCCGTCAACTGTTGTCAGCAAACAGACATCGGGGGCACGTTCTGGCGCTGCGTTAAAGCCCCGGTAATGGGCGGCACAACGAGGCCTTGGGGACGGCGTTTGAACACCAGTTGTCTCGTTAGTGACTATTCACTTGACGCAGGCGGGTATGCGCTTTGCCAGAAATGCCTTCATCCGTGTGGACTTCTCCTGTTTTCCTCCGTGTGGATTCCTCCTGCTTTCTTCCGTGTGGATTTCTCCTGTCTTTCTCTGTGTGGATTCCTTCTGTCTTCCTCCTTGTGGATTCCTCCCGTTTTTCCTCCGTATAGATTCCTCCTGTTTCCTTCGTGTGGATTCCTCCTGTTTTCGGTCGTGTGAATTCCTCCTGTTTTCCGTCGTGTGGATTCCTCCTGTTTTCTTCCATGTGGATTCCTCCCGCTTTCCTCCGTGGGGATTCCTCCTGTTTTCCGTCGTGTGGATTCCTCCTGTTTTCCGTCGTGTGGATTCCTCCTGTTTTCCGTCGTGTGGATTCCTCTTGTTTTTCATGCAGCCGCGCGTGCGTCTGCCGCCAGTTTGAAGCCTTGGCTGCAGACTTAAGCCAACATCTGGAAAACATGCGAAGGGAATTATGTCATCAAGCATGTCTTGTTCGGCTGTTGTATTCGGCCGGGCAGCTCACCTAGTGGTCATACGGAGAGTGGACATGGGACCCTCCCACTGGGAGAGTGGGAGGGTCAGGAAGACGGAATCCTACCCACGGCTCTCAACTTTCGGGTCGAGAGGACCAGTCTTGTCCGAAGCTGGAAGCTTTTTGTGCACTGCCAAGGTGTGATTCACTGCCGTATGTTGCGAGAACGGCCTCGCCTGTTTTCGCCTAAGTATAGCCTCACCCCCGCGCAGTCGGCTCACCGCCACGGCATTCCGTGCAGCATCGGCGATTTACGGCGGATGCAGCGTGTCTCTGGGCCAGTTGGAGCCGGCTGACAAGTGTGACACGGCGACGCGGACGAGCCGGGGGCGACCGACGGCAGCCTATTCTCGTCGCCCGGGGCGCCGCTTCCGCCGAGCCCTACGGGCGGCGTCGCCCGGCTCGCCTCTGGCAGCCCACGGCCGCCGCTGGCCGCCGCGTGACAGCTACAGAGCGGACGTCAGGCTGCATCGCTCGGAGTGGCAGCTCCGCCACCAGATGGATGCTCGCCTCGAGCCATGCTCGCCGACCGTGGCGCGTCGCTGATGACGGTCGACCGTGTTTTTTGCATGCCCGTCATGCCTGTTCATGTGCTGCATCCATTCGGTGAAGTTTTTTGGCTTCGGGATGTACCGGCGAGAAAGCCGTCTGATACGGTAATTTTGGGGTTCTGTTTCGGGATGATCTACATCCCTTGAACGTCGGGGTTACCGATCGCTTTGCGTCACTGCGTACTAAATCGAGTTGGGTACTTTGGTGGACGCAAAGACTCCGCCGATCGCGGCACTCCCTGCTAATCCTTTTCTCAAGGCTTCCCTGTCACCGATTCCTTCCATTTCCTCGTCCGCTCTGCGCTCGCCTCTGGTATCACTCCAGCCTTGCCCGTCCCGCACACAGCCTGACCTTTCCACTCGTGTGAGGCCCCATTGTCTCTCGGCTCATCACCAGAGAACCGAATTGGCTCAACTCATTGGACGTTAATCATTCCCCGATGTAAGCACAAAAAGGTCTTCAGCTCCTGGTTTTTTTGACATTTTGACATTTATGACATTTAACATTTATTTTATTTTAACATTTATGCTGAGTTACCGACCTTCATTATACAAGGAGGCACTGGGTAAGCGATATCACGAGAAAGCATTCGTTATATTGACGGTACCTGTTCCAGACTGTGCTTATGATCGCGAGCCCCCGTGATCATAAGCACAGCTTGTGATTACGAAAAGAGAGGGGGCAGGAATCAAGCGGGAAGTGTCTTCTCCATAATGTTGTTTATCCAGTGCATCCTGGTATAATAAAAGTCGATAACTCAGCAAAAGAACCCCGAGCTCATAAAGCATTTTTCGCCATGATCTCTTCCGTTCTTACAGACCGTCATTTACAGCGCCTCCCTTGCACATCCCCTCATTAGTGACGTGTCCTGGAGCTGTGTAGGAGAGTCGGAGAAACAGTTAATTGTTCAGTTTTCGATAAAGCCATGCTTGAAGTTGTCTTTTGTCGTCGTTCAACTTTGAGTCACTGGCATGGATTTGTTCATGATGGCTCAATCGACTCCTGTGGCCCTCTTCCCCCTAAGCTGCGTTCATTTTCTCTCATTCTCCGTACTCTGTCGGTCTG